TGACACTATAGAGGCAGCCATACTCCTAGTCAAATAGGCCAAGAGAGATAGCCTCGACTATCCATTTTCTCATTCTCTGCTTAGATGCTGGTGACCCTATTAGGGGGTCCAAAACATACGAAGAGGTGTTCTGATCTACGCCACAGGGCAGCTCTGTGGACGTATGCATCCAATGCCCTAACCGGACAAAGCAGATTATTTCTTTCCTGGTTGGCATCCTGGAATGGAGGAGGACACAAGGCCTGCAGAACAATAGATCTGGCCACATAAGAGGAAACTTTAGGAATGTACCCCGGTCTAGAGTGAAGAAATACCTTTACCGTGCCGAGCGCAAAATCCAAGCACTAAGGGGAAACTGACAAAGCTTGTAAATCTCCTATCCTTTTAAGAGAAGTAATAGCTATGAGAAACATGGTCTTGAGAGTCAGAAACTTGACTGTAGGCTCAAAGGGAGCCAGGGACAGGCCTTGGAGCACCACGGCCAAATCCCATGCCAGTACCCTAGTGAGTACTGCAGGCCTCAGCCTCAAAATGCCACGGACGAAACTTGTTACCAAAGAGTCTCTCCCTAAAGACATACCACCCAAAGGAACGTGGTAAGCTGCTATGGTCGTCACGTAGACCTTTAACATGGAGAGGGATAACCCTGCAGTAAATCGTTCTTGCAGGAACTCCAGCACTGTACCAACAGGACAGTTAACTGGGTCCAGCTGACAACCACTGCACCAAGAATTGAACACCCTCCACTTCAAGGCATACAGTTTCCTTGGAGGCTCTGGAGTTAAGAATGGTCTCCACAACCTCGGTTGAGAGACCAGCATCTATGAGCTGGGCCACATCAGAGGCCAAGTTTTTGACCCTCCTTAGAAGGGGAAAATATCCCAGAACCGCTACGTTTCTGGGCGGTTTCTGAGATATGCGCTCGTGGGAGACCGCTGTGCCTTGAAGCACACAAGGTGGCAGGGTTGGAAGAGGAATGGGCACCGTGTACTTGCGTTGTTGATCACTCCTCTCTGTAGGGGACTACCCTCAGAGGCCTGACGCCATGAACGCCATGAACTCTCTCCAGAATCCCTGGGAGCAGAGCAATCAGGGGAAAAGCGAGAAAGAGAAACTTTATTGAGAATGTGACGTCACACGCGTTGCATTGTGGGAAGGCATCGCCATCTTGGAAGGATACGCTATCCGTTGTCATGGTTACTTCGACAGTAAGACCGAGATAAATAGCAACAGAGAGAGAGAGCAGCTTATTATTTGTTTGCATTTTTGCGATAAGGCACAGTTTTTAGGGAATACATGAAGAAGGGGGAAGCAAAAGGAAAGGGGCTCTATCGGGAGAGACTAAATAACAACACCAGCGTTATTTAGAGAAACTACTTGACATCAACATGGACCCATACGACCTGCTACAGAATGGACGAAAGACCCAAAGCACTACCACCTTTCACATACCCTGACATAGTCAATTACTTGGTTTATGGTATCAGTGCCTAACGTTACTGCCTACACAATGCAAGAGTTCAGAAGCTTTAAGTCATTAGAAGCTTATGAACAAATCTGCTGCGGCTGGGTGCAAGACTTAGAAACCCCCAAACCTGTAACGTTAAACTGCGAGAGTTCAGTCATACTTGATGTTTCAGGCCTCGTCCATATGTGGAAATAAATCTGATATGAATCAGATACGTGCATTTGCACCTGCCGCGCAACGTCAAGCGGACAGATCGGACATTCCCCTGTCAATGCGAGTCGTACGTCATTAAAAAAAGTGTCTTTTTAAAACATTTCGCGTTACAGATATACCTATAACAAATTAAATGATGTTTTATAAACAAGGTTCGGGAGGAGCACGTTCAAATAAATCATTCCAATCAACTCGTCACCAAACAATTACATGTCTACCCTATCAGCACAAGTGGAAGCACATATATATATATTCTCTGTCAACTCATCTAACATTCCTTGACAGTTCCAGCATCCCTCCACCACCCGACTCCTCACTCCTGGCTTATTTCACAGTCAGGAATACGGGGGGGAGTACTCTGGGTTCGGGCCGCATACCGAGCCCGGAGCCCTCTCCTCGGACAGCACGCCAAACATGCATTTATTCTATCTGACTTATTTGTAAGTGTGAACTCGTGAAACAACTCTAGTTGAATAACAGAGTATTAATATTGTTTGTTTAGTCGCGCCTCTGTGAAGTTCTGAATTCGTTACCCCTGGCAACCGATAGCTTCTCCTACCATCATGGCCGACCGGCGCCAAATCGGCACGTGACTCCTCACTCTCAATAGTTTCCTGGTTGATGATGTCACCCGCCACTGACGTCTCGTCACACCACTGGACTGATTTCACTTGTGTTTCACGACGCAATCCCACAGAGCGTTCCCACAGCGTCAATTGACGCAGCGCGAGTTCCCTTAAAGGGAAACAGTGTTTACTGATATAGAGAACAACTAGCTTTGGAGTGACTTTGTGATTTGTAACTTTGAAGACCTTATTCATGCTCAAACAGCATTACACTACATTTAACAAAAAAAAAAAAAGCATTACAGGACCCCTTTAAGATTTACTTGCTGCAAATTTGCTAAGGCATGAACAGGTTTAGCTCAGGAGCAGCGAAATTGTACTTGGTCAGACTTTGCAACTTGTCGGTTGCATAACAGGTCTTTCCTTTCTCAAATGCTTTTGTTTTTCCTTTACGTCTTTGCATTGCACTGTTCCCTTTCAAATAAATGGATTCACACTGTTATCTGATAAACTGGTGTGTAGACGTCCATACCTTTAATGTGTTTTTGCGTATTTGCCGCACATGCCCAGATCATATTATTCTTACTGAAAGCCTGAGAGACCTGCTGGTGTCAGAAACCATGACAATACATCAGCCTCATCACTTTAAAGGGAAACAGAGAAAATGAGACCGAAGATGCCTGTCTTCTCTCTCCCCCTAAAGTTGATTAATTAATCATGTTCGCATTTATAATTGAGGCTCAACCTGTCTCTTTCATACACATGCACATGGAATATTAAAGCGTGTCTCAAAGCAGCATGTCAGATGTGTATTATCGTAATGGTTCATTAAATGCTCTGCAGTGTTTTGCCTGTCAGATTGTCAGTGTGCACTGATTCATTATTTAACATTTAAGCCTAATGATAGTAACACCCCCAAAGACCACACCGGTTAATTTAGAGGTCAAGGAGAGTGTCCATTTAAGTGTGTGAAGCACTTATGCTAAGTGCTGGGATTTTGTTTTATACAACTGACACTAATCCAGAGTGAATGAGATACAAGTAACTCAAATAACGATGCTCTAAAAAAGATAGTAAAGTCTTGGTAATCTAGTGCTTGAATACTAGCAAACTCTTTCGTGTCTGTGAAGGGTTTTATGAATGAAGGCTGTACAGTCTGTTGGATTTATTGTGATGTTGTCACAGTTTAAGTAATAATTGATTTTTGACCTATTTATACACATTCATTCTGCTTTCATGTCATCGAAGTGTGTTTTTAATAAAAACTTTCTCGGATACATTTTTAATGAGTGCAGACAGATATAATAAAATTATGACTGAATGTCCGGTGAAGTTTATTTATTGGCTATGAACTGATCAATTAAGCAAGTTGTTTTAATGAGCAATTACTTTACATAGTAAGAGGAAAGTTACAACATAGCATGCCAATGTACAGTATACTAGCTATTAGTTAACCAAAAAGAGATGGGACATTATTTTCACATGTATACTTTTATTGGAACTTACTCAGTTCAGGTGGGTTGTTTTAATTGAATCTTCATGTCATTTTATATCGGAAACATTGTTCCCGTAGTTCAATATTTTTCTTTAGTGTAGTATCTGCTGATAACTGATATGGTCGATAAATCATGCATCACTATTTTTTTTTACAGTTGCTTAAGGAGTCTGACAGAAGAAATTGACTTTTGCTTTCTTTTTTATTTCTCTATTAGTAAAATGTGGCATCAGCAATTCAGAAAGTTTCTAACCACTTTAAAGGTAAACTAACTTTTGGCCCTATTGCGGTTAAAAAATTTAATTGAATGCATTTTGCAGAATAACATTATTTTTATTGTGCTTCAACTTTGCGTGAAAATAAACTCCAGCACAGCTCTACAACAACCATAATGAAATTACCAAACACAATTGATAATGCTTTACAATCAAGTCGGTTAGAGAGCTACTTATGGCAATTTATCTGTTAAATAAAAAATCTTACTCACCTATTGAGTAAAAAAAATGCCTTCTTTGAGTCGCTTTTATATTTCAAATCCCTTAGATAGTTCTCGCCTCTCCAAACAGCCAAGCCAATGTTGATTCTTGTTTTATTACGAGCTCTGTCGCATTCTCTCTTGGCCAGCAGACTCTCCTATGTTGGCCGTTTGTTTAAAACGGGTGATTCCCTGGAGTTTTACGTAGAGGTTTAGCTGCTCCATGTAAAACTTTCTCGCTCACTGTGACAACTAATCTCTGCCACTTCCATACGCATCAATGTAGCCGGAGCAACTTTTGTCTAATTACGGATATGACGAGAGAAGCACAGGTGAGTGACGTATTTATACAGTTTCGCGTGAAAAGCATCCATCTCTGTCTAAATTAACACTTTTGACGGGCATAGTGAATCAGAATAAGACAAAAACAAATTTTGGAAGAAAGATTGATGATGTATTGACTAATTTAAATTTTGTAAATTGTGAGAAAAAAAAAGGGCACATAGGGTTACATAGGGTTACATAGGGCACAAGGGTTACATAGGGCACCTTTAAGATCAATGACAAGATTTCCAAGTTATTCACAGATATAATGCAAAGTAACACAAACAAAATTACAGGAAGTGTAAACTTTATAACACAATACTTGCTTGCTGGGCTGTTAATAAATGTATGCTTTGTTACGTAATTTACCTCCCGGGTCTTTCTGGTAGAACTATAACATTATGAATCACTGCACATTCATAAATGAATTGCTGACATCAGCTGTTTAGTGTGAATATCTCACACATGAGAATGCTGTACATCAGTAGAAGTTGTGTGTCCCGTTTCACTCTGAACTCTCTTCAGTCTGGTGCAGCAGTGAGGCATCCTGATGATGTTCTCAGCGTCACTCCTCATGAACACATACAGCAAACAGTCCACAAGCGGGTTTAACAGATAAAGGTTGAAAGCTAGACGAGCAAGTTTTTGTGAATGACTAAATTTTGTAACCAGAATACCTAGAATATTAACTGGTAGGAATAGAAAGGTGTAACTGATCACCACAAAGAGCAGAGGACTCAGAACTAACTGCCTCTTTAGAGGAGTGAGTGATATTGAGCGAGAGAGGGACCTGCATGCACCTACAAAACATAAAATGATCACTGGATAGGGGATGAAGGCCATAAAATGTAATAGGTCTGATTTTACATCGATTGTTAGAAAAACAATAATAGACAAAAGCAAACCAATCAGAGAAATATAAACAAGACATTTGACTGAGTGATGAGACCTGTGCCAAACGGGATGAGCGATCACAACGTATCTCTCTACGGATATGCATGTCATTAAATACGCACCTGTGAAACCACTCCAATGCATTCCGATCAATGAGGTGTAAAACATTATCCGGTTGAAGCTAATGGCTCGGAGTAGCATGCTAACAATAAGTATTATATCTGAAATTAGCAGATTTATGAGGAAAACTGGAGTAGCTTGATTAGATTTGATGAGAAAATAAACAGCATAAATAGCTAAACAGATCATGGGAATTTCAGTGCAGGAGATGAGCGATATGTAGACAATATCATCAGTTTTGATAGCTTTAATGCCATCAGTGTTGTTTAAGATTGGATTACTAGCATTCGTTTTTGGACCAGCACTGCTATTGTAAAGAGTGCTTTCAGATGTCATTAATGGAGGCTTGGAGGTTTCCATCACTACTGACATCTGAAAATGTAGGACCAGCTGGTTTAATCAAGATGTTTTCCTCCTCACTCTTGTAATCGTCTTCACCTATAGTTGCCAGACCTAGGATTTCAGATTATGAAAAACAACATGATTGTATTCTAATATACATTAATTACATGGCATAGACTCAATAGATTAAAATGAGACATTATAATAAGCAAATTCCACACACACGATTTATGGTTGTGCTTTTTTTGTGTTATTGCAGGTGATCATGCCCTTTTCACGCCCTAACTTCAACTGCAAATAAAATAAAGATGAACACATTAAATTGTAATCTAGTGTGATCGGTAACATTTCAAGATAAAACAACATAAGGTGAAAGCAGTATGAGAAAATACACATCACATTTTATAAATTACAATATGAAGAGGATAAATTATGGGCAAATTTGCTAGTAATGTCAGATCATGCATAGTCAATTCAGCTGTACAAAGAAACACAATCCTACCTTCACTCATCCAGGTCTTGGTAATTGTGTTCTACTGCTGACTGAAACCCTTGTTTTATAATAACACTGAACTGACACGGGAAATGTGGGAAGGTTTTTCACATCATCTAAGGTTGGGTGTGTTCAGTAAAAACAAGCTAATGCTACCCAAGCTTTTATCGTGTTAATAGCAGATGAGAGCTGTGGCCATGTCCATTTGGAACCACTAATTGGTCAAAGCTGCAGTACGGAACTTTGCCTTTCTTTCGCCATCTCTGTTTGAAACACTGAAATGTCTGTCTTCCATCCCTTCAGATCTCACCACTTCTCAAAAGCCATGCAGATATTTACTCTCATTTTAGCATGGGCTCTGTTGCTTTCCCTTTTTGACTGCGGGCTCACAGCAGTTCTTGGTTTTGACAACAGGTGATTCCCCAGATGACTATCATTGTCATTTACACATTTCTAAATAAAAAGCAGCCATCTCGATGACAAGTTTAACAAGGGGTCGACCAACGCGCCGGCACATTCACTTGTATTTTTAGATAAGAGTAAGACATCATTCGAAACTGTAAAGTGCTTTGTTTTTGTACACTCGCAATAACAACAAAACTTTGTATTTTTGTGAAATTAAGAAAACAAACAAGATGCGCTTTCTGCTTTCTCGGTTTCTTGAACTTCTTCAAACTCGTCGCAAAAATGAATCAGAATCAGAAAGAACTTTATTGCCAGGTATGTTTGCACATACGATTAATTTGTTTTGGTGACCAAAGCTTCCACAGTACAAACAGAATGACAGTGATAGGACACAGATAATAAAAATAGAATAAGTAAATAGGAAATAACAATATAACAAAAAAAATACACGATATACAAAAAAAGACAGGTATGTATGTACTAATGCAAGTAAAATGTAAATAAGAAGTATGGTGTGTTAAATAAATAAATTGTATAAATAGTGTTGTGTATTGCACATGTTTATTGCAAAGTGGGGGCATTAACTGTTCATGAGATGGATTGCCTGAGGGAAGAAACTGTTCCTATACCTGGTCATTCTAGTGCTCAGTTGTCTGTAGCTCCTACCAGACGGCAAAAGTTCAAAGAGGAAGTGGCCTGGGTGTGAGGTGTCCAGAAGGATTTTTTGGAGCCAGATCAGTATCATTTATAATTTACGCAAAAAACATGATTCACACATGAGTAGACAATTTCACATGCATGAAACAAGATTCAACTGCACAAAAAAACAATTTACGTGCGTAAAAAAAATATATATTCACAAAAAGCTATTCACATGCACAAATTAAATTAAATATTCATAAAATCGATTTCACAAATGCAAAACACAATTCGTTGATATACAACTGGGCACAAAAACCTTCGAATATTTAAAATTTAGGAGTGTATCCTTGAACGTGAATGTGCAAATCGTCATTCACGTGTGAATCGCCTTGGATTTGTGTGTGTGTATTTTTGAGACTTTCCTGGCAGTGCTCTCCTCCTACACGGATCAGTCATAATCTTTAGCCAATCAGATTTAAGTTTATCAATCGACCAATCATCATCACGTGAGGGCGTGCCTAACTGCATGTAACGTCATCAGCTTTCGACCACAGTTCATGGCTAAGCAGAGGTATGTGCAGTTGATCGGTTCATTTAAGTTAAAGAACATAAACATTTCTTTTTAGTATTGATGGATTTTCATGTCCTGTCCACCACACATTCAACTGATGTGTCCAAAACATATGAACAGTTGTTCAGCTTTACGCCACAGGGCCTCTCTCTGGACATAGGCATCCAGTGCCCTAACTGTACATAGCAGATTGTTTTTTTCCTGGTCCGAATCTTGAAAAGGATGAGGACAGAAGGCCTGCAGTACTATTGAACTAGCCACATTAGTGGGTGCCTTGGGAATATAGCCTAGTCTAGGAATGCTTTAACCATGCCAGGCGCAAATTCTAAGCACAAGGGTGCAACCGACAATGCCTGTAGATCTCCTATTCTTTTAAGAGATGAAATGGCGAGGAGGAACAGTCTTCAATATAAGAAACCTAGCTGGCACCTCCTTCAAAGGCTCAAAGGGAGCCTTGGAAAGGCCTTGAAGGACAATGCCCAGATCCCATGTTGGCACCCTAGTGCGAGCTGCAGGCCTCAGCCTCAAAGTACCATGGAGGAAACGAGATACCAAGGGATCTTTACCGAAATACATTCCACCTAAAGGAATGTGGTAAGCACCTATGGCCACCACATAAACCTTTGAAGTGGACGGGTATAGACCTGCAGTGAACCACTCCTGCAGGAAGTCCAGCACTGTACCAACCGGGCAGTTAACTGGGTCCAACTGACGGTCACTACACCATGAAGGGAAAACTCTTCAATTCAGAGCATAAAGTTTTCTCGTGAAGGGAGCTCTGGATTGTAGAATGGTCTCCACAACTTCTGGTTCCAACAGGTTCCACAGTTCTGGTCGAGGGTGAATAATCGAGCCCCCTGCTTGGGACAGAAGGTCCCTCCTGACGGGTAGCTCCAGAGGAGGCCCGTCGAGGAGAGACACTAAATCGGGGAACCAAACTCTGCCTGACCACCGTAGGGCTATAAGGAGTAGGCGTACATGGTCCCTGTGAACTCTCTCCAGAACTTCCGGGAGCAGTTCGACCGTAGCCTTGGCCACGTCTGTACCATCGCACCCAGTCCGAGAGGAGCTGGATGCGTGAGGGAGAACCAGAGTGGACAGTGAGACGTCTCTCGAGACACAAACAGATCCGCTTGAGCCTGGCCGAACACCCTCCATATCTGCTCTACCACCTTGGGGTGGAGCCTCCATTCCCCGGGCCTCAGCCCCTGCCTCGACAGAATGTCTGCTCCTAGTTTATTTTCAATGAGAGACACACGGAAAGCGACAAATCGCGATGGTATTCTAAGCCGGGAAACGACATTGTGTGCAGCGGTGCTCGTACACCCGAAATCCTGTTTCTTGCGCATTGCAGCTTTTTGTGGTCATAAATATTATAAATAATATTATATCGTACAAAATATTACGCACGCAATAAGGTGAGATATAATATTTCTCCTCACTTTCTCTCTCTCATACACATAGACAACATAAGCTTACCTTTCAGAAGTATGTGTTGGGCTTTAAGGGCCCTATTTTAGCGATCTGAAAGGCAAGTATCAAACGCGAAACGCAATCTCCGGATCTCGGATCTAAAATGGGTTGGTCTGAAGTAGCTACATTACTCATAGGTGTGGTTTGAGCGTAACGTGCAATAAACCAATCAGAGCGTCATCTCACATTCTATTTTAAAACAGGTGCACCTGTTCCATCGTGGATTGCTATTATAATAGCGTATTTTTCTGATTCAGAGAAAACTTTCCGTAATTGTTATAGTTTTAGATAATAATAATAATAATAATAATAATAATAATTAAAGCTGCTAGCAGCATTTAGCGGTGTTCAAGCAGTTAAGGCCTTTAAGGCCGTTAAGCACAAAAACATCAAAAGACATTAAGTTTTATGTAGCAAGCATTTAAACATTGACATCATAGATGGAATAGACCATGTTTTAGCATGATTTACCATGATATACCAAATTTAGTGTGATTTTTCATGATCTACAATGTTCCAGTATGATTTACCATGAATCTAGCATGATTTACCACAGTTTACCATGATTTCCCATGTTATAGGATGATTTACCATGATATACCACATTCTAGAATGATTTACCAGGATTGTAGCATGATTTACCATGATTCATCACATTGCTAGCATGATTTGCCATGATCCACCATGTAATAGTAGTTTTTACTATGATTTACCATGTTTCTATCGTGATTTACCATGATTTACCACATTGCTGCATTGATGTGAAGGGCCAATAAAAATGAAGTGATAAACTCTGACAAAAAATGATTGTGTTATAATAGTTAACATTGAAAAACTGGTTTGCTTTAGTGCTTTGATTTACTGTTGAAAATCAAGTGTGTCAAAATGAGAGTGAGCCAATAAGTGGTCTTCTACTGCCCTCTGCTGGCCATTCTACTTATTAATAAAGTGTTTTCACAGGTGCTTTTGCACTCATATGTAGACATTTGATCACACACACACACACACACACACACACACACACACACACACACACACACACACACACACACACACACACACACACACACACACACACACAAAGTCATTATATAAATATATTTTAATGGTCTATAAGCATTTAATGTCTTTGCAAGCTATTAATCAGATTATTCAGCATTTATTCAGAAACCTAGGACTACACACACACATTCTGTTGTAGATACAGATATTTGAACTATGTGATGGAAAAAAGAAATGTTTACTGCAATTGTCCTTCAGGATTCATATTTCTCAATGCACAATGCACTACAATAGTCAGTTTACCATGGTTTGTCTTAGTTTACCTTGATGTTACCTTGTTGTGACCGAATGTTACACAATAATTTATCATGATATACCACATTCTAGAATGATTCAGCAGGATTGTAGCATGATTTACTATGATTTACCGCG